AGAGAGAGAGAGAGAGAGAGAGAGAGAGAGAGAGGCGAGGTGTACAATTAAAGAAAACAGAAATTAAAATATGAATGAGGAGGAAAGGGAGGAGAATGGAGGAAGAGCAGCAAAGAAAGGAGGAGGAAAGTATGTAACAGTAATAATAATAGGAAAGAAGGGGGAGCGAGGAAGGAGGGAAGAAAGATGTAGGTGATGAGAGTGAACAAGAGGAGGAGGCAAGAAGAAGAAAGGGGCAAGAGGGAAGAGACAGAAGGAGATAATATAGTAAAAAGGAAAGATAGGGGAAGATATGAAGATGGTAATGAAAATGAGAAGCAGGAACGGATCAGAGAGAGAGAGAGAGAGAGAGAGAGAGAGAGAGAGAGAGAGAGAGTCACCTCGTGTAAAGAAACAATAACAAACTCCTCTATAAACCTTATTTATTTAATGCCACAATTATCGACGTCTCCTTCCCACTTCCTCTTCCTTTCACTCTCTCTCCCTTCTTTATTCTACTGTGCCTCCCCGTTCCTTTCCTTGTTTTCCTGCGCCGCCTTCAGCTTGTGCTACTCCATTTTTTTTCTCTTCCTTATTCTCAGTCGCCTCTTCCTCCTTCCTTTCCTCCTCCTCCCACCCCACCCCTCCTCTTCCTCCCACCCCTCCTCCTCCTCCTCTTCCTCCCACCCCCTCTTCCTCCTCCTCGCATCCAAACAACATCTTTAACACAAAATATCTTACTCGGGAAATAAGACCTGTCCTCCATATCGCTTTTATATTTCAGGAGACGTGAAGATCTCCAGTGAGAGATGAGGCAGCCCACCCCGCCCGCGCCCCCAGTCTCCAGTTAACAGTCTCCAGTTAACAGTCCGCAGTTAACAGTCCGTAGTTTACAGTCCACAGTCTACAGTTAATAGTCTACACTTAATAGTCTACATTTAAAAGTCCACAATTAATAGTCTGCACTCAAGACTAGGAACATCAACCTAGACGACCTCCTGACGCCGCGCCGCCCTGCAAGGTGTCGCAGGCCGGCCCCCACGATGCATCACTGTCACCCAACACCTCAATTAATTCTACAAGTTGAAGTTGTCGGAGGAGCTATGGTTGAGGGGAGAGAAGGGAGGGTGAGGGGAGAGAAGGGAGGGTGAGGGGAGAGAAGGGAGGGTGAGGGGAGACAAGGGTGAGGGAGACAGAGTGGGTGAACATGGATCACACACACACACACACACACACACACACACACACACACACACACACACACACACACACACACACACACACACACACACACACACACACACACACACACACACACACACACACACACACCGATTTCGTTCTGTAATTTGCCAACAATCTGCCGAAAAGAACTGAAATCAAAGTGAAGGGGAGTTCTCTCATGTCAGATCAAGTATCAGTTTGATCTGACAGGTGATGGTGTCTAATTAAGTGCGAGCACCTGACTTTTAATTTACAAGGTACATAAACTGTGTGTTACTTTTAAAGCAATTGATATGAGAATGATCCTGGAGTTTACTTTTTCCTGGGGCTCTGTGAGATGAGAGGGAGAGATGAGGAGAGGGGTGAGGGAGAAGAGAGAGGGGAGGTTGAGAGTGAAAGAGGAGAGAGGGGATAGAGAAGGGAAGGAAAGAAGGGAAAGGGGAGGAAAGGGGTGTGAAGAAGATGGAGAAAGGGAAGAATAGAAAAGGGTGAGGGAGGGAGGGGGGAAGAAGCAGGAAAGGGAAGAATGAGAGGTGGGAGGTAGGTATTAGAGAAGGGAGTGAGGAGAAAAGAGAAAGAGGAGAGGAGGGGAGGAGAAGGAAGAGAGAGAGGAGAGGGGAAGGACGAAAGAGTGAGGAGGAAAAGAAAACAGAGAGAAGAGAAAAAGGAAGGGAGGATAAATGAGAGAATGGGAGAATTGGGGGTAAAATATATACACACGCCTTCATTTATTACAATATGAACAACAAACCAAATACTCTGTCATTCTATTACTCACTTAACCTTGTTTATTACGGAGTACATCGGATTAACCATAACTGCTTAGATTATCCGCACACTAATTCGATTATCCGCGAATTAGTGCCATTATACCCCCCCTTTCTTCGATTATATCCGCACACTAATTAAATTATCCACGCAACAGTTCAATTATCCGCGCACTAGTTCAATTATCCGCGCAACAGTTCAATTATCCGCGCACTAGTTCAATTATCTGCGCACTAGTTAAATTATCCACGCAACAGTTAAATTATCCGCGCACTAGTTCAATTATCCGCACACTAGTTAAATTATCCACGCAACAGTTCAATTATCCGCACGCTAGTTCAATTATCCGCACACTAGTTCAATTATCCACGCAACAGTTCAATTATCCGCGCACTAGTCAAGTAAAAAAAATGGATCTTCACCTAACCTATCCAATTAATCCACAAAGAAGAGAAAAGGTAAAAAAACAAAAAAAAAATACAAATCGACAAAGAGAAGAAAGAGAACAGGTAAGAATATCGAATTATAAGCGACCCAATTGAGCCTAAGTAAGTTATCCAATGGCCAGCCGACCCTACACACCTGACCAGATACCCAATAGCTTTTACCCACTACACTATATCATACAGGTATTAGCCAATGGTAACGCGAGCTCCGATACTATTAACTGTATCGATATTAACTGTAATGCTATTAACTGTGATGTAATTTACTGTAACACTATTCAACTGTAACGCTATTAACTGGGATGTAATTTACTGTAACGCTATTAAACTGTAACGCTATTAACTGGGATGTAATTTACTGTAACGCTATTAAACTGTAACGCTATTAACTGTGATGTAATTTACTGTAACATTATTCAACTGTAACGCTATTAACTGGGATGTAATTTACTGTAACGCTATTAACTATGATGTCATTTACTGTAACACTATCAACTGTATCGATATTTACTGTAACGCTTTTAACTATGATGTCATTTGCTGTAACGCTATTCATCTGTAACGCTATTAACTGTAACGCCTTCTATTAACCGCAGCCCCCATTAACCAAAGCTCCATTAGTCCAGACTCCATTAAATCCCGTTCCATTAGTCTAAAATTCATTAATTCCTGCTCCATTAACCCAAGCTCCTGTTTCATTAACCCAAACACCATTATTTCCCATTTAAGTAATCCAAACTCCATTACATCCTGTTCCATTAACCCAAACTTCATTAATTCCCGTTCCATTAACCTAAACACTATTAATTCCTGTTCTATTAACCTAAAACCGATTAATTCCCTGTTCCATTACTTGCAGTTCCATTAACTCTACTCCATTAGCCATAACTCCATTAGCCTCGACCCCCATCAATTGTAATGCCATCAGGCAGGAGTGAGTGGATCCCTTGCCTCCACCACATCAGACGAGGCAAAACAATGTATCAGACCTCGTGAACAACTACAGGGAGATATGCACGAAGGAAGACGATGAAAGAGAGGAAGAAGAGAGAGAGAGAGAAGGGAAGAAAAGAGTGGGGAAGAAAAGAGAGGTAAAAAGAGAGGAAGAAAAGAGAGGAAAGAGGATGAAAAGAGAAGAGAGATGATGAAAAGAGAAGAGAGAGGATAAAAGAGAGGAAGAAAAGAGAGCAGAGAGGAAGAAACGAGAGAAGAAGTAAAAGGTGGAATAGGAGAAGAAGAAAGAGAAGACAGGAAGAGGAAGAAAATACATATAAAAGAAATTAAAGAAAGGAAGGAAGAGAGAAGAAGGAAAAAGTAAAGAACAAAACAGAAAGATAACGATAGAGAAAATAAAACAGAATAAAACAGACATAAAAAAACATGAACAATAGACGTAAAGTAAAAAGGAAAAAGAGAAATAAACCAAAATAAATTAAAAAAAGAAAAATTTAAGCAAATATCATAAAAACAGAGAGAGAGAGAGAGAGAGAGAGAGAGAGAGAGAGAGAGAGAGAGAGAGAGACGTGACAATAATCTACCACACTGATTGAAGGTGAGACACAGGTAAGGTACTTGTTAACCATGTAATTGGTAGTCTAACCTCTGATCTACCTGTAACACCACAATGATTAACCTGTCAGGTACATGAGTGACCACGTGCTTCTTTTTCTTTTTTTGCCACTCCAGGTTCGAGTGGCACTTGGGACCGCCCGTCAGTTCAGTGTTATAGGGTGGTAAATCCTAATCACTTGGGTTACAGGTGAAATAGTTCCGATCACACGGTATTAGGATTTGGGGTTTTCTGGACCAATGGGATTAGTTAGCATTAGGATTGATACATATTAGAAGTGAAGTCCATTAGGATTAGAACCCATTAGGACGTAGACCAATTAGAACTAAGGCCCATTAGAATTGGTACCTGTAATAACTAAGGCCAATTAGTACTAGAGCTCATTAACACTGAGACCCATAATAACTAGACCCCATTAAGACTGAGACCCATTAGAACTAAAAACAATCCCCTTTAACCAGTCTACATTACCTGGAAACTAAATAACAACTCTTAATGATGTGTAATCCGTCGAAAAAATCCCCCCCATCCCCCCCCCGAAAAAATTCTATACTATTATGAAGACAAAAGACTTACACATTACGAAAGGTCTCATTCTTTTGTATTTTTCTTCCAGGACAAACAACCTCCCTGGATGACCTAAACTGACGACAAACTTTTAACGTGAAAAACAGGAGTAATTAACAACAGCAACAAACTCTTGGTCTTAATAGGAATAAAAAAAAAAAACTAATTACTACAAACAAACCAGTAACGTAAAAAAAACAACAACTGATTTTTACTTTTTATGGCAATTAACTTAGCTAACTTTATCGAGAGGGAAATAAACAAAAAATGAAAGCAAAAACAATACTGATAAAAGTAGGTGATGATGATAATGATGAAAATAATAATAATAATAATAATAATAATAATAATAATAATAATAATAATAATAAACCAATCACAATAATAACACTATCAACACAACCAATAACGCCAGCAACCCTTGGCGTCGTCACAGACCAGTGGCCATCAGCGGGGCCCACCTGACACTGGTAATCAGCATCGTCTTCCAGCGAGGTGTTGTGTATACGAAGGTGATGTTCCCCGCCTATACCGTCACCCACCATCTCGTATCGTGGGTAGCCGGGGATAGTGCGGTTGAAGCCTGGAACAGCAAGAGAGATATGATGGATTAGTGGAGTGGTTTGGTGGTGGTTGTGGTGGTTATAGTTAGTTATGGTAGTGGTAGTTGTAATGGTGGTGGTGGTTGGGGGGGTGGTGGTTGGGGGTGGTGGTTGGGGTGGTGGTAGGGAGTAGTGGTTGTGGTGGTTATAGTTAGTTATGGTAGTGGTAGTTGTAATGGTGGTGGTGGTTGTGGTAATGGTGATAGTGGTGGTGGTTGCACGTCACAATAAACCATAAGATACATAAACCAGTGACTAATTAAAAACAAACTGAAAAAAAAAATACATTTCAAAATATCATTATCAAAATATCTTCACTTAACTCTAAACACAAAAGGATATATCATATTATAATATACCAGAACTTACATCATATAACAGAAAACTATATATTTCTAAAGAATTAAATATCACAATAAATGCTTAAATAATTCTCAATTCGAAAGATAAAGTTGAGACTAAAATATCATATATCCCTCTACTTCATTTTGTAAGGTAAACTGTATGTAAATTTTTCGACACAATGTAGAGATCAGAATAGGAGCAATACATTTACATATAGAGAAAAGGTTTGCTTACTCGGATATGAAGCATCTCATTAAGCCGTCTCCCTGTGCTACCCAAAGCAAACACACACACACACACACACACACACACACACACACACACACACACACACACACACACACACACACAAAGGCATTCAGATCTCGTGACATCTGCTCAAAGTTATGTGATCCGCCACCCATCACCTCACCCCATCACTGCCACCCGTCACCAGCCGTGTAGGGCCAATATCACATGCAGCAGGGTTCAGTAACAACAGCGGCAGCAGAAATTGGAAGCAGCAGCACGAAAGTAAACAGCAGACAGCAACCAGGAGAGGCATACACACGTAGACCAACAGGTGGAAGAGACAGCTGGGGGGGAATTGCAAGTTACAGAAGGAGACACGACAACAAGATATAACAAAAGAGGTAGAGTAACATGTCAGAAAGAGGATCAAAAATGTCAGTCACAGCACAGACGGTAATAACAACAAGTCCAGCTTTAGGAAGAAGAATAAGTCACAGTAAATCACAAACAAAAGCAATACTGTACTTAGTTTACCTGGAAGATGACTATGCAACAGCAACAGCTACACCAACAGCAGAAAAGGCAGAAACACAGACACATATCATCTGAGGATATATGACTTTCCCCCTTCCTTTCCACCCCTCCTCTCCACCCATCACCATAAACTTTACGCAGCGGCAAATGTTCACCTCCCTGTATTACGGACGACCTGACACCAGCATCATCAGCGGACACACGTGCAACAGGAAGGGAGACAGCAGCAACAGTAAAAGGAGGAGGAGGATTAGGAGGAGGAGGAATGGGAGAGGGAAGAATAAGAGGAGAAGGAACGGGAGGAAGAGGGGGAGTAGGAGGAGGAATGGGAAAAGGAAGAATGAGAAGAGGAGGAGGAAGAATAGTAGATGGAGAAGGAGGAGGAGGAGGAGGAATGGGAACAAGAGGAGGAGAGAAAGACGTGCAACAGCTGTCAAAAGATATAAGAAACGCCACCATATCCAATAAAAAAAAAGAAACAAAAATAAATAAACAAAGAAATAAACAAAACAAGGGAAAAAAGGTGAAAACAACATCAAGAAAAGAACTACACAGCAAGAGGCAGCAACAGGTGTGAAGGTAAAGGAGTAAAAAAAATTACAGTAAGGACGGCAAAAACAGCAGGCGAAGTGTACCAATTTTACAGCAGTCGACACATTAGCGTTGGGAGACACATCAACAACGTCGGTGAGAGTTCCAATTGAGATTCTGGGGCGGTGACAGGAGCCTAAGTAACAGTCGAGGCGGTGACAAGAGCCTAAGTAATAGTAGAGGCGGTGACAGGAGCCTCAGAGCCTAGAGTAGAGGTGACAGCAACAACAGCAAGATAATAACAGCACTAGCCAACACGATGACGAGGAAAAACTAAACAGCGACACTATCATCACTATCATCATCTTCATCACTCACTATCACCACCATTAATATCACCACTACCCTCACCACCTATCACAATCACCATCACACACTATCATCCCTAACACTATCATCAACAATATCACCACCACCACCACTATCATCAACATCACCATCACCACTATCATCACCATCACTCACCACCACCAAAATATAAATATTACCTGCGTGTTTCACCAAGGTAAGCGACATTCCCAGGGGTACACCTGTATAATTAGTCCACCTCATCAATAAAATCTCTGATGGTTCCTGCAGCCACATTATTACCTTTTAATTACCCTCTTTTCTTCAATACCTTCCCTCATTATCTCCTCCTTCATTAGCTGTTTTATTTATATTTTATTAAGGTAATATTATGTTTAAACGAGATAGGGGGTCTCTCTCTCTCTCTCTCTCTCTCTCTCTCTCTCTCTCTCTCTCTCTCTCCTAATTACCGACTCCACAAAAAAAGACTAGTTGCTTTTATCTACTTAACTAAACTATAGTTTTTTTTATATAAGTAAATCTGATTATAATTTTTGTTTCAGCTAATTTCATTTATTTATATCATTTTTTTCTTAAAATTGCCACGTGAAGGAGGAAAAAAATATATACAATTTGTTTTTTTTTGTGTATTATAGCGAGTGATAAAATATCGTCCAATGAGAATTATCATATTCATTGTTCCTGTTGACTAATTACTCAAATAAATTTAATAAATGTTGAGAGGGAACACACACGTCATGACAAGGTTTATTTTATTAATGTCTTTTAAAGTAAACTAATGCTTTACTTCACGTGAGCTAAAGAATGATAATTTGTCTTACGAGATAGTAATTTAGAGGAAAAGAGGTGATTTTTTCTGGTCGATTAATCACACACACACACACACACACACACACACACACTTAGTAGTCAGTTTTTCCAAGTCAAATATACCAACGGAGAAAGCTATTTGTTTAATTAAATAAACCAAACAGTTCCACAAACTTCATTAACAACAGCAAAGATATTCCAGGTATAAAAACACAAGGTTACACTCGCTATTAAACCCATTATTATTTATATTGAAGAGAGTGAAAGATATAAACCTATTCTCTATTATACAAAGTCCTGACTAACGACCCAAGTGAAGATAACAACCATGGCATTGTATAACCACTGAGAAAAATAAAAACATACAAAGCGAACAAGAGAATAGTCTGAATCATTATAGAGGAAGATAATTGATATGCCACTAGGGGGGTCGTTCTCCTGATGAGCCGACCTTTCAACTCTACGGGGGCGAGTCGTCGGGTTTCAATAAGTCTCACTGAGGGGCGCCGCCGCCGTCGACCTTAACCTGTTGACCTAAGGTGACCTCTGGCCTTAAACCGTTTTGAGGACGCTATGCCGAGTGCCCTGGTCACCGCCTCGCAGATTTAATCATTTAGTTACATTGGCTCTAGCTGAACCTACTGTGTGTGTGTGTGTGTGTGTGTGTGTGTGTGTGTGTGTGTGTGTGTGTGTGTGTGTGTGTAAAACATTTCGTGAAGGTCTGTAACACTTCGGTGGAGAATTTCGTTCAAATTAAATGATTTAGTTGCCAGCTAAATTTACGTATTAATTACCATGGCAACTCCCGGCTCCTGTCATCCCAAGGTCCCACCCCATGGCAACCAGCCTTAAGGGATGTCCCGGAATAAAGCCTTGCGGTGACCTACGGGGTAATGACGACGTATCAATATGTTATTCCAGCTGAGGAGAATTTGCTTTGAATTTACCTGGTGCTTATTCAGGAACACCACAACAGACCTCTAATACACCGAGGCAAGTGGCGGTAGTGAGGATATATCACCAAATTATCTGATCACCTTCCTTGATAGCCGACTTACAGGTATCAATTTACACCTGTCAAAATAATTTCTTCCGTCGAATGTTAAAATAATTAGGTTGTGTTCTTTATTATCTTATCACATGTTTTAGTTTATTAACAGTGATTTCATTCGTGTTGAGATGTGTTCACTCGTCTGTGTGTTTGTTTGTTTGTTTGTTTGTTTATCTGTTTGTTTGTCTCATCCTCTGACAGGTCACAACGACACACTGTTAACACCCAAGCCACACATGAGAGGCTGACTATACGTCCCTGATGCACACTGAGTCCCCGACCTGCCTATCATCACGACTACCCACACTAACTAGCTCCGTGTGTGTGTGTGTGTGTGTGTGTGTGTGTGTGTGTGTGTGTGTGTGTGTGTGTGTGTGTGTGTGTGCATTAAACTATCCGTCAGTATTTATGAGGTATAATAAATATTTCGGTATCACATGAACAGTAGCCAAGGTTAACGTTAGGTTAGATTAAGTTAGGTTGGGTTAAATTAGGTTGGGTTAGGTTAGTGTCAGGTTAGGTTACTGTTACGTTAGCGATAGAGTGGTAAGGTTGGGTTGGGTTAGGTTAGGTTAGGTTAGGTTAGGTTAGGTTAGGTTAATGTTAAGTTAGCGATAGGGTGGTAAGTCATAAGGTGAAATAACCGAAGGCTTAATTTTCAGGTGATCCAAATATCTAAAAAAAGTAATATACAGGTGTTGCTAAAATAGTCAGATCTTTAGACAGGTATGAAGTAGAACAGCCAACGCGTATAGGTTAAGGTCAGGGTTTATGGGTGTACCTGCCTTCTGACCTAACCACCTGACCCCTGAAATGAGCTCTGAACCTTTGACCTGAATAACTGACCCCTGACGTGACCTCTGAACCTTTGACCTGACCGAGTGACCCCTGACATGACCTCTGATCCTTTGACCTGGCGTCTGAACATCTGACTTGACCACTTGACACCTTAAATGAACTCTGAACTTCTAACCTAACTCCTGAACAACAGACCTGACCTCTAAACCTTTGACCTGACCCCTAGAATAAAACATACAACAGCCTTGTATTTATGAACCATGCTACAGTAATCAACGAATAAAGAAAATAAAAACATCCAGTTCGCAAAAA